GAACAAACTACAAGTCACATACCACATTACCATCCTGATGCTAATTTAAAGACTGGCGAACCTAAAGAAAACAATAATGAAGTTAGTAAACAGAAATTAAAAGAAAGTCACCCACAAAAGAACAAACTACAAGTCACATACCATATTACTATCCTGGTGCTGATTTCATGACAGTGAGCCTAAAGAAGACAATAACAAAGTTAGTGTACAAGAATCAAAAAAAAAACTACACACAGAATAATAAACTACAAGTCACATACCACATTACCGTTCTGGTGCTGATTTCACAACCTGGCAAACCTGAAAACAATAATGAAATTAGTGAACATGAAACAGCAAAAAAAGAAATATGAAAAAAGAAACTGAATTCCTTAACCACTGTCCCGGCACTGATTTCACAATCTGACGAACCTAAAGAATAAAAAAGACAATAACGAAATTAGTAAGCAAAAATCAAGAAAAAAAAGTTAACAATCTAAAAGTCACTAACCACATTACCATCCTAGCGCTGATTTATAACCTGGCGAACCTAAAGATAAAAACAGAGTTAGTAGGCAAGATTCAAAAAAAAACCACATACAAAAGAACAAACTACAAGCCAAGTACCACATTACTGTCTCAGTGCTAATTTTACGACCCAACAAACCTAAGACAAAAACAGAATTATTGGGCAAGAATAAAAAAAAAACCATACACAAAAGAACAAACTACAAGCCAAGTACCACATTATCATCCCAGCGCTAATTTCATGACCCAGCAAATCTAAGAAGACAATAACAGAGTTAGTGGGCAAGAATCAAAAGAAAGTCACTTATAAAATAACAAATTACAAGCAACCTACCACATTAATGTCCTGGTGCCGATTTTATGATCTGGAGAACCTAAGGAAGACAATAATGAAGTCAGTGGGCAATAATAAAAAAAAAACTACACACAAAAAACAAACTACAAGCACATACTCATAAATACCATCCTGGCGCTGATTTCAAGACCAGCGAGCCTAAAGAAGACAATAACGAAGTCAGTTGGCAAGAATAAAAAAAAAGTCATACATAAAAGAATAAACTACAAGCCACATACTCATAATTACTGTTCCGACACTGATTTCATGACCTGGCGAACCTAAAGAAGACAATAACGAAGTTAGTAAGTAAGAATAAAAAAAAAATCACCATAAAAGAGATAAACTACAAGCTACATACCTCATAGTTACTGTCTTGACGCTGATTTCACAACCCAGCAAACATAAAGAAGAGAATAACAAAGTTAGTAGACAATAAATCAACAAAAAGAAAGAAAAAAATCTTAGAGATAATCATTTATATAGCCATGTGACTACCTATATAATGGACCGGGATAATTAAAATTGAACCCACTAATCGTTTGATTCAACCATTGTGACTCTATTGGCTAATGTGCCTACGATGGAGTGGAGTGGTAATGGTATTACTAAGACTGTAATTCTGGATAATGTTTTTGAGAAAGGATGCTAAGGATGGTTTTGGTTAGAACTAAAACAAGTTATAAAAATATTTTCAAGATATCAAATTTAATGATAAATATATGCTGATTAATATAAAAATATATATGAATAGAACAGTAAAAATATTTGCTTCTAATCGATAAAACTATATTTCAATTTTGTTTTGTGAGAGTATTTATTTATTTAGAAATCAGATAATTATTAAAAGTTATAATTTTTAATTAAATTTAACACTTTTTGACTTTAAACAATTAAATTCAAAAAAAAAACAGCAACATACATTTACGTATTCGAAAGCAAATTAATTAAAGAAATTATATACCTATTTTATCACTGCATTGTTATCTACCATTACAATTATTATCTCTATCTACGGTATCATGATTATTTTCAATATCTTTATAAGAAGGGGGAAGATCTTGTTGGTTTGTTTGTATTTGCATATGATCACATTCCAGACTTTCCATACTTCTATAGTGTGCTTGTATGTTTTGCATACATATACGGTCATATTCTGTTACTAAGAAAGTATTAGAAATTTATATCATAATAATAAAGTACCGTGAAAATACTACGTATTTACTTGGTTTTTCCCAAAAATGTATCTGAAACTCCTCATAATATTTACAACCATTTTTGGTTTGTTTACCATTAAGGCTTTCTTCAATATATAACTTCATTTTTTGTAAAAAATTTTAATGTTTATAATCAGAGGAATGTAATCGTTTATTAATTTGAAAAATATTACTTTATAGTCTCGTATTAATCCTTGAAATTTTTTTTTACAATGAGTTCCCGAATAATTGGTCCCGAATTCGAGATTAATACAGCTTGCAACACCTTGCCAAAACATAATTTTCCCATTACCCGCAAGTTCGTGGTACTGACTATTTTTTTTTTTTCGCTCATCAATAAGCATACGCAATTAGTTCATTGTTCACATTATATAAAATTCAAGAAACTTGAAAAATAAAAGATCCTTTTTATAATAAAAAAGCATAATATTAGCAACATATTAGACAAAAGCATTAATTAATTAATTCTAATATAGATTCACATAAACTGGGTCTTAATAGCATAGTATGCAATATAGGGAACAGACTAAAACAATTACTGTCTGCCAGACGATGATTTTTTCAGTCTATTCTTAATATATATTTAACGCACAATGGATTATTCAAATTTTAATATCGATATGCATATTGGAAGTCTTAAATTATTGTTATACGTATAATCTGATAATTAATTTAATTAACACATAACAATAACAATGAAACAATGGCTCTTTTTTTATTACCGTTTATTATAAAACACCTGCGACACACCCATGACATACCCATGCATATCAATACTATTTATTATAAAATACTCGCGACACACCTGCGACATACCTGCGGTGTATCCATGGTACATATACTAGATAAAATTTTCAGAATATCTAAATTTATAATAAAGAATAAGAACTTTTAATAGTTAAGAGGTCCGGTACTTAGAATTCTACTTTTATGATTGTTACGAACTTATAAGTGTAGAATTTCTAACATTAACAAAATTAATAAAAAAAAATAGAACCACAAACTACGTACAAGCAATCTAATTACTGTGATTCACTTTCGGCGCTGATTTCACAACCTGCGAACCTAAAATAACAATAACAAATTAGTAGTAAGAATCAAAAAAAGCCACACACAAAAGAACAACTACAAGCCATATACCACATTACTGTCCCAGTGCTGATTTCATTACCCAGAAAACCTAAAGAAGAAAATAATAAAATTAGTAAGCAAAAATCAGGAAAAAACCTCCACAAAAGAACAAACTACAAACCACACACAACATTACCATCCCGGCGCTGATTTCACAACCTGGCGAACCTAAAAAAAACAATAACAAAGTTAATTGGCAAGAATAAAAAAAAAAAGTCACACACAAAAGAACAAACTACAAACCACATACACATTACCGTCCCAGTGCTGATTTCAAGACCGGCGAACCTAAAGAAGACAATAATAAGGTTAGTGGGCAAGGATAAAAAAAAACCACACACAAAAGAACAAATTATAAGTCACATACACATTACTGTCCCAACAAAACTAAAGAAGACAATTACGAAATAGTGGGCAAGGATCAAAAAAAATTACTTACAAAAGAACAAGCTACGAGTCACATACCATATTACTGTACGACGAACCTAAAGAAAACAATAATGAAATTAGTGGAAAAGAATCAAAAAAAAGTCTCCATAAAAGAATAAGCCACAAGCTACATACTCATAATTACCATCCCAGTGCTGATTTCATGACCTGGTGAACCTAAAGAAGACAATAGTAAAGTTAGTAGGCAAGAACAAAAAGAAAGTTACAAAAGTAACATACAAGCAACATACTCTATTACTGTCCTGATGCTAATTCAAGACTAGCTAACCTAAAGAAGACAATAACAGAGTTAGTGAGCAAGAATCAAAGTTACCTACAAAAGAACAAACTACAAGCCATATACTACATTACCGTTCTGGTGCTAATTTCAAGACCGTGAACCTAAAGAAGACAATAATGAAGTTAGTAGACAGAAATCAAAAGAAAGTCACAAAAGAACAAACTACAAGCAACATTACTGTCCTGGTGCTAATTTAATGACCGGCAAACCTAAAGAAGACAATAACGAAGTTAGTAGACAGAAATCAAAAGAAAGTCACAAAAGAACAAACTACAAGCAACATTACCGTCCTGGTGCTAATTTAATGACTGGCGAACCTAAAGAAGACAATAACGAAGTTAGTAGACAGAAATCAAAAGAAAGTCACAAAAGAACAAACTACAAGCAACATTACCATTCTGGTGCTAATTTAACGACCGGGAACCTAAAGAAGACAATAACGAAGTTAGTAGACAGAAATCAAATAAAAGTCACAAAAGAACAAACTACAAGCAACATTATTGTCCTGGTGCTAATTTCAAGACCGGTGAACCTAAAGAAGACAATAACGAAGTTAGAATCAAAAAAAAGCCACCACAGAACAAACTACAGGCCACATACCACTAGCCCAGCACTAATTTCACGAACCAGCGAGCCTAAAGATAATAATGAAGTTGGTAACAAGAATTAAAAAAAAACTGCTCACTAAAGAACAAACTATAGCCACATACACGTCACACAACACGAATCTAAAGAAAATTTTTTAAAAAAAAAGATAATCGCAAATCTTGATATTATTGGCTGATTATGTTATCAAATCTTAAATATTATTGATATTATTGGCTAATTATGTTATAATTTAAATTAGTATTTTTTTTTTTTAAATATTTAAATAATATTTAATTAATATATATATATAATAATTAATATATATATAATTTTTTTTAATAAATATTATTTTATATATTATATTATATATTTTTTAATATTAAATATTTAAAAATTACATATTTATTATTTAATAAAAATAATATTTTAAATATTAATTTTTTTTAATTTAATAATTTTATTTTAATATAATAATTACTATAAATTTATACATTATTATTTTTTTATAATAATAATATGCAAAATTTAAATTTTAATTGTTTATTAATTTAATAATAAAAATATTAATAT